TTTTGTTTTTTTTATTTTTGCAATTATGTTTGATTAATTATTTTATATTTTTTCTTTGATTTGATATAAATTCTTTGTTTATAGGATCCGTAGATAAGAGTTTAAGTTTGCGCGCTCGCTTTTTCGCCTATAAATGGAAGATTCGCCAGGTGTGCGCGTAATGTAATGTTTGCACAAACCAAAGAAATGCCCATATCTCTGGTCTTATTTTGATAAAACTTTTTGTCTCTGGTGATTCTCATTGCGCAAATACTACGTTGATTACACAGTTATATCTGCGAGTTATACTCGCCAGGGGATCGTAGTTTAAATAGCTAAGGAGAAAGTATATGTACATATCTTGAGGAGCATGATAAAATTCAAATTTGCAGAAAAAAAAACATTTTAACGTTAAGTATTCCATTCTTTAAATTTTTTTTTATTTCTCAGAAATGTGAAGATTCTATACTATTATATCACTGTTACGTACAATAATTTTACGTATTATATACATATACATATACACCAATTTTTCCGTTAACACGGTGTGAAACACATTAAAATTTCATAATAATTGGACAATGGTTTGTTGATAGTTTGTAATTGCTATATGAAACAAGATTACTTTTTCAAGGAAATCAGTATAATACTTGCGTCATTATTCTTCACTCTCTCGATAACTAATTAATTATTGCGAATACTGCACGTTGTTCATTTAACATTTTAATGAGCTCTCATTTGATACATGTATCTAGATTATAGATACTTTCTAGCGTAAAATTTATTTAAGTTTAATCTAGTTAAAACAAACAATAATAATGTAACATTTTGGAAATATAATCATACAACAATATACATAATCATTGATGCATAATCATTTACATAACAAGCACATACGTATTGTATTGTAATCTGTCCACGAGTATCTTGTTAGAATACGAAAAAATTATATTATGTAAACATTAGAAGTATTATTTTTTAAATATTATTTTCATTAAAATTAGTAAATCTGACTTTTTTGCATAAGCTGTTTTAATAATAAATGCAAAATTTATGTTTTTATAAAGTAAAAATGTCTTTATCTTTATCTTTAGTAAGCAGAAAAGATGATTAGAAAAATCCTTTATCCCAAGAATTAGTGCAAAAGAATCTGTGTTTAATGTTTACGAAATATCTGAATTTGTTAAATTTGGTCAATTTGAAAATTTTTTCCTTTTATTGCAATGGAATTTTAATTTAAGATTTCACTCTGAGAAGATTCCATGTTACATAAAAAGATACGAGGATAAAAAGAAACAAAAAATGGTGTCTAATGAAATAATTGTTAAGAAAAATTGATTTTGAATTTGATCGAAAAATCCGCAGAAGGAGACAGAAAACTCACATCCGAAAGATGTGGATATCGTTAAATATCGATCGTTATGACTATACTTGTGATGCGAAAACCGATCGCACGATGATATGGAAGATGGCACGCAGGTGATCCATCCGGCAGATGGAAGGACATTACATATAGAAGCCCCGATCGGGGCGGCGACCAGGAGACTCGATTGACCAGGAGAAGGAAGAGACGAAGCTGTATCGTCGCTTCGATATTCCTTGGCACTCTTGGCAGTTGCACGCTAACCATCGAGCGGAGTGGAGTGCTCTCGCTATTTGCCGATGTGATTCTGTTCTCCGATCGGAGTTTGATGGTACAACGTGTCGTGGAATAAAAGTCCAAGCAGCTACGGATAGATATTTATTATGTGAGTTCACTGTTCGGATTTAGGCGATATTTAAGACCGCGGTATTGATCGATTTTATTGGTGTACAATTTAAAAAAATTTGAGATTTGCTTTCTCGAGAAAGTTTATATTGATACAAAGATTATATGAAGGAGTCTTTCGATATCTTGTTGAAATCTCACGTATGAATCTGCGATGTTATTACTGTAGCACAAATATAAATGTAAATATCTGAGAAATAAGAGTATCACCTGTACGAATAACATTTATTTGAAGAAAGAAAGACAATAAAGTATATTAGCTGTTTTAATACAACAACTTTACGGTATATTTACAATAGAGTTAAAATATTTAAATACGATTACATTAAGGTAGATTGTTTAAATCTTTCAAACGAATAATGCAAAAGATTTTAATTAGCGCTAACTCTAATGTCAATCTATTCAAATGGATAGAATTTTATTGAAATATGATTTTCATCTGGTAAGAAAAACAAATCCAGTAATATAATATAATTTTACACAAGGATCAAACGGGGGGTAAGATTAATATTTATTCCATGTTTATTAATCCTTGTTCATACCCTAAAGATAAGCCGGGAATGTTTCGAATATGTATATACGAATGTGTAGTGTTCTTCGCGAAATACCTTGAGTAACCTTGAATAATGTTGGATTGGTAAGACGAGGAATACGAGGATATGTGTAATCGAAAAAACGATAAGAAGACCTTTCCTTATGTAAGAGTCTTTTGTAATCTGTGACAGAATAATGGAGCCCGCGAGATTTCAGGAAATTTGCAATCAACTTTCTTGTCTTAGCAATATAGACACGGATATAAATCTTGTCATCAACGATATGACATGCGTGCGCTATGTTCATTAATGCAACGGCAATACATCGAAGGAACTACAATACTATAACAGGCTTCTCAAACATATATTATATTTTTTGCGACGCAAAACCTGCACGACTGATTATTCAGCGGTCGTTTTCAACGAGGAAGTGCAAGTTATTTGCTGGCAAATAATTTACAGGTGGAAAGTAAGCCGTCGACAGGTGGGAAACATGTGGTCCCAAGTGTTTATTTTGACGATTCATGATATAAAGTGTTTGTTGAATTTGACGTAGCGTTTCTTCATTTAAATATAAACGAATAAATTAGGCAGCGCGCGTGGAAATGTGTTTCGTTTTACTTATATAATTGTGGCAAATGGATGAATAAAGTAACAAAATCATAAGAATACAGGTTTTGTTACCTTATTTATTGAAATGCTCTCGTATATATATACATACAATTAGACATCAACGTAAATCTCACAAATAAAAACTGATTAAATATTGCTTTGTAACATGGAAGCACGTCTCTTACTGTTATCTATAATTGCTAGTCTAATATTCACAATGAGAGTTATATTAGGACATTTTTATAGGAAATTTTTATCAATTTTATTTCGTTTATGCAACACCAATTCGCACAACAGTCATCTTTTATTCAAGTTGCACCGTTGTCTCGGTTAGGATGCGAAGTTGTGTTGTATGTATAAGATTATTTCACGCCGGTGCAAGAACCTTACATCAATTCAGGCATGCCACTCGCGTTTCCTTGACACGCTCACTCGAGGCGTTTGGAACGTGAAATTACTTTCAATGATTGGTTGCCTTCACCCGATTTAAGCGAGATAAAAAATTTTTATATACGATGATCCCGCGAAAATTGCTCTTGTTTTGACATGTTTATGATTTTCAATCTAAATATTTCCACAATTTCAAAATACAAATAATATATAAATCAGCTAGTCAAAGTGTTAAATTGTTTCAATTATTTATTCTGTTTTCTTTACATATTTATCCTGATTAATTTTTAAAATAAACATATGACTGTACTATTTCTCTTCAGCTGGAAAATAAAACAGATCTGGATCTACTTGTCTAGATGTAGTGTCTTGATCTACTGGAAAATATTATACACACACTGTGTATCAATATTTAAAAAAATATATTAAATAAATATTTAAATTATATTGATATTTTGTATATAGCTTTTGTAGAGTACTAAAATTTTACAGAAATTAATAAACAAAATAGTGAACATAGAAATGAGTATACGTGGCATTTATTTTAATGCGACATTGTTAGGCATATCGTTGTAACAGCAACTATACGTTATCTTTGCAAATTATTTTGACCGATTTCTGTATGCATTGTTTCATCCTATGTAGTATTAAGTATGCTGTTTTGTGTGCTATTTTATCGTACTCGTAGTATTAAATATCTATGTATACCAGGATATTTTCACTTTTTGCTCTCTCTTTTTTTCTTTCTCTTTTTCTCTTCGTGTTTATTTTTCGGCAAAGATGATAACAGGCATACGGGTGTAAGTCTGTTCAGATACAAATTCAAAGTTGTTGGATCTTCCTGTTACTATCGCTTTCGCAGATTCGTACATTATCTGTTACTTTGACATTAATATAATCAAATATGTGTGCGCGACCTTCGATAGTATTGTTTACGATGATTGTACTGTTATACTTGATATTATAATTTATAGTTTCCATATATATATATAGAAATAAGTGCAAAGGAATTTATCGATTATATATGCAGAGGATTGCATATATCTTGCAATTCTTGATCTTGACTTTAATAATGGGAAACCTTGAAATATTTGAGAATATATACAGACAAAGTCTCGAAGAAGACTACTATTTATCGGAGTCCTTTTTAGTATTCAACATTAATTATGGTATTAAAACATATGGTATTAAAACTTATTCTAATTTTTTTAACTATAGAGAATTATGAAAGAAGCAATAAAGATAAAAACAGAAATAAAATAGATTCAGGAATCTACATAGCATGTAAATTTATTTAGATTACGTAATTTGCTAAAGAAAAAATTATCAAATAAAAATTTTTGTAGTAAATTAATGTAGGAAAATAATTTTTTAAGTAAACTGTATTATTATAGTTAATTATGTAAGGCCAATATCTCTCAGGTCTGTAAAATAAAATACAGCACTTAACTGTTGAGACATAAGGTATATCGGTTTAGAAAACTTATAGTTTTGATATCTTTCCTCTATTATTTGCACTTCAACGTCAATTTAAAATTACTAATGCATTTAGATAACAATAAGCATAATAGAACGATGAGATAATGTACCAATCAAGCAGATGACGTAAATATAGATAAAAAATAATGTTAGGTATTTATAAACTGCAATAATTAGCATAAATTAGCATAAAAATGAAGAAAGAGAACTGAAAAATGCGCATATTTTTTCTTTTTAAGCTTCCACATGATATGACTCAGTCCCGCGAGGTTCTGGCGATGATGGATGCACACACAACCACGTTCGGACGAAAGAGAGGCTGCACAATTTCCCGGTGTGGTGCCTTCTTCTTGGGAGCATTTTTTCTGATTAGTCTGGTCGCCACTGGTTTATTGGTATATCATTTTGCACCTTGTCTCGAGGAAAAACAAGTCAAGCAATGTGACGACTTTCTCGACAGTCCGCTTTTGCCGAGCGGGAAAAGTTTCTCGCCAACGCCTATGAAGAAGAAAATAGATGTCAGATTACCAAAGGCAATTGTGCCCGATTCATACGAATTATGGCTGATACCCTTCATATGGGAGGGTAACTTCACCTTTCACGGCGAGGTAATATTTCTCAATTTGCAATGTATTTCGTAACAAGTGAAAAGAATTCTGAACATGTCGTAGGAAATTTTTTTTTATATAACGTTATTTGTGCTTTTTTATAGAATTCAACTTATGATTCATACATACCCACATTTTTGTAGTTAAAATAAAATAAAAATAAGTAAATAAAAAATAAATAAAAATTATTATCTATTAGTAATACACATATATGCATATTGATTACCGTATTTAATGAGAATTAAGAGTTTTGGCATTTTCCAAAGTATTTCTTCTTTTTGTGAAATTTCTTTATGAATTTAACTTAATGATGGACAAACCGGTTTAACTGCTATTATAAACGTTAACTTTCTATTGAGAATCGAAAAAGCGTAATGTTTTTATACATGCTTAATTCTTAATTCTGTGGGTAAACCGTCACGAAAAGAAACGCACGTAGTAGCGACTGACAACCGTTCACTTTCATATATTGTATCTATCAGGAATATAGGCATAGGCACACAGATCACGTGCGTTTCGATCTTAACTTACAGTCAAGTTTCTTTTTCAAGGTTCTTTTCACTTTCCTCTGAACCATTTGTTCTCAGCTCTCGACATTTTTTCGAATTGCGAGCGAGAAGGAACATTTAAGTATCTTGGAATTACATAGGATGTTACTTTGAAATTCTAAAATAGTATTAATGAGTTAATTAGAAGCTTAAAGTATATTGTAAAATGCAATATATATATATATATATATATATATATTAATTTTATGACCTGCTGTCAGAAAATGAATTGTTTTGTGCATACTTGTTCCTGAATAGTTTCTACTTTTATATTAACTTTGTTCTTTTTT